CCGTTGGGATGGGCGAAGTGGTGAGGGGGCAGCCTTCTCTCTCTTTTAGAAGGGCATAGAGTTTACTGAGCATTAAACGAAAACAATGCCGTGGAAATAGGGACAGGATGGGATTATGCTGTGGATAAGGGATAAATTATAAAGTAAATAAAGGATATTATTTTCAGGGGAAATGAAACCAAATGCTTTTCTCCTCCAAGCGCCCTCAGGTGCATCTGAGAAGCAGATAAATGTCCTCTAATCCTTTTCCTCTTTCTCTTTTCCACGTCATTTTTTAAGCAGCAAGGGAATTGAGGTCTAGTTCAGTGGGCTTCCAGCCATATTCCATGATGCCCCATATGTTCTTGCCGAGAAACGCCCTCAGGGATGGAGGGGAGGGGATTGGAGGACTAAACAACACCACCCCGCTGGCCCCTGCCCTCCCAGCACCCAAGACAGCTCTGCTGCTATTTGCTTTGAACCCTAGAGCTCACAGTAGAGTTTTTCTGAAGGGGGCCGGGGGGAGGAGGGGCAGCGAAGCACCACCGCCTCTAAAAGGAGCATTGAGAACTACACTTACTTCAATCCACTCACTCCTCAGTTCTAGAAGCTGAGCCTCAGGAAGGTCACGCCAAGTCAAGGATGCAGAGGCTGCATGCCTTCTTGTGAATGTCAACATCTCCCTTTCCTGGTAACCCTGTCTCATTGCCCCAGATCCACCTCTGGCAGCGACTTCACTCACCAACCCCACCGCCAGCCAGCTTCGAAGACCCCCTTGTTTGTGGCCACGGACTCTTCCCTTCAGTTAACTCACCTTCTCTTACCCCAGGGCTGCCAGCAGGCTGTTGCCTGGTGTTGCCAAGTACGGTCTCTGGCTGGTGTGAATTGTAGTTCTGACACCACAGTCAGCTAGTTTGATTTTTAGCAACTCTTATTGTCAAATTCACACCACACTGCGTTCGTCTACGTTCAGATGGAACTGCTTTAGAAGGCAGACCGGATTGTTTGAAAGTTTCCTTTATCCCCGCTTCTTCCTAGCAGTCTGCGGGTGGTGAAAACAACCTATGCAATGGTCAGCAAACCACTAGGTTGGTGGTTCGAGTCTACCCAGAGATGCCCCAGAAGACACCTCTTATGCTCTATTCAATAAACAAAAACCCAACAAAACAGTCATGGAAAATCCGTTGGAGCACACTTCTATTCACACACACCATGAGTTAGAACTGACTGGACATCAAGTGTGACACCTACCGGCGTTGACCCATAGTGACCCTGCGTATGGAGAGAAGAACTTTTTCATAAGGTGCTCAAGATCACGACCTTCTGGAAGCAGATCACCAAGCCAACCTTCCAAGGAACCTACCTTCTAGGCATGTTCAGACTGCCACCCTTTTGACTAACAATCAAGCGCCTAAACCTTTGTGCTACCCAGAGACTCCTCGTGGCAAAAGAACCAGTGGTTTCCCTGAGGACGGACACCTTCAAAAGCCAGCCAAGTAACTTAGACATGCCAATGGGTGGATACACAATCCCGGCCTGAGCCAGGGCCTGCACCTCTTGGGCAGCACCAGAAGGTGGTCAGGCCACCAGCAAAGCAAGGACACCTGACAGAGAAGAAACACAAACAAGGAGAGAAGAGAGATGGAAAACAACTTGACATTCACATTTCTTTGACATTCAAATGAAAGCACCTCAAACGTCGTTATTAGAAGGGAGGGAGTCAGGACTTCTCCACACTTTCTAGGAGTCCTGGCTGCGAACCACAAGACTGGCAGATGGAAACAACCAGCCACCATGGGGGGACGAGTGGCAGTCTCTGAAACCTGCAGGAGCGGTTCTACCTGTCGTGCGGGGTTTCCGTGAATCAGAATGGACTCTGTGACAGTGAGTTTGACTTGCACTTCTTGTACTTTTTAACGTGTGCTCTTTCTTTCAAGTGACACCTAGAAGTATCCTGTACTCTTGTCAGCGTGGGTTGTGGGTCATGGCCCGGCCAGGCCCATCCTATAGGCTCCTCTCCCTGAGGTAAGGGAAACCTGCCCTGAACAGTCCAGGCCTGGTTCTGCTGCTTCTCTTTGGGAAATGACTTTGCCCAGGTGAAAGGTACTCGTGAAATAGCTGAAGAATGAAGGCCTTTGTCAACTCAACAAAGCAGGCCAAATAGCTCAAAACGGGGTCAACTTCCCCACGATGGGGGAGGATTGGCCTTCAGGGGCTTGCCCTTGAGTTCAACCCTCCTGACTTAGCTTGACCCTTCTGGAACAGGATAGAAAGTATTTGTGAAGTTCATTTGGGGGCGCAATAATAGGCTTGGTAGAGTCCTTCTGAAGAAATGCCAACTAATTTCCATTGGAGGAGCGTGCGTATCAAAAAGACGGGTCCCCAACCTGGAAACGGAAGATCAGTTTCCAAGAGGAGGAATACAGGAGGATTAAGTTCATTTTCGTTACCATTTCCACGTCTGCATTTCAAGACTTCCAGTCTTTCCAAGAAAAATAAGAGATGGAAATTCTAGGGTTTATCTTTGTGGATATCCGTCTGTGCAAATGATGTGTGATATTTTGTGAGAGGGTGTGAACGTGTGTATGGGGCTCAAGTGTGAATTACTAATATACATCATGTAACTGATACATACTCAGTTTCTGTGTTTGTGTGTGTGTTTGAGAGTGAGTGCGATCCAAATAAGAATGTGAGGATGTAAATGTTTGGGTGTCAAGCAGGTTAACCTCACACATGATGGCGGTAGGGGTTTTTGATGAGTTCTTAGGTAGTTTTAATAAATGCCTTTGTTTTCTTCAGATGAAAGGCAGGAAAAGAAAAGTGGGTTATTCCCTTTTCCTCTGGTGAAGTCGTTCTTTTTAAAGAGACAGAATGCCACAGCACTAGCTGCTATGGGCTGTGCACAGTGAACCATCATGACGAGGGGGAAGTGGTCCTTTCTGGTGTGAGTGTGAAGGGAAAGCGTCCCTTGAGGAAGAGTCCTGTCTCTATTGCTGACAGCAATTGGATGATCATCTGGTCCAATGAGGACAAGCTTAGACTCACGGGTGAGCTCTTCCCCGGAGAATTTTTTCTTTCCTTTGGAGGGGATGGAGAATCTGCATGGTTACTAAATAGGGGCTCAGCTCAGATTTCTTCAGAAAGGGTGATTGGGGGTGAGTGAGGGCTGTGGGTATATATATGCAAAATAACTGGCCAAGGACCCGACACACAAGCAACCCACCACGCCCATCGCCGTCCAATCACTTCCAGCTCACGGTTGACCCCGGCAGTTGGTAGAGACTCCATAATGTTTTCCTGGGTCACGGTCTGACAACTTGCTGGAAGATGCGGGGCAGCTGGACAGCAGAGGAGCAGGTAGGGGCCGGCTCATGGGTGACTGGGTGTGAGGGGCCAGTGCATTGCCCTCCTGGACCGGGAGGGGTGCATGGCCATGGGGTGGAGGATGATGTCGGTTCCTCTTAGCTGGAAGAAATGGCCTGCTTTTGTTTCCCCCCAGTAGGAAATGGAACCTGAATCCATTAGATTCTGGCAGTTCAGCCCGGCACAGTTTGAGCTCTTGAAGGCACGATGCCTAAAAGGCTACCGGTGTGGAGCTGTGTGTCCCAACCTCCGTTGTGCTGCGTGCCCATCTTTTATGCATTTAAAGCCTGTCAAGTGGTAATCTAAAGCAGAGGGCTGGAAGACAGTAATGCCAACAGACGCGGGGAACAGTCAAGTGCACCTGTAGAGTTAAAAAATGCATGACCCTTTGCCTCAAAGAGGGAGCGCAGGAGAAAGGCCCCATCCTGGAGGGTGGCTGCTGAGCCCTGATACATAATTCACGGGCCCATGCTGCTCCATGCAGATGGCGATATTAAATCGTGATTGATGCTCAGAGAGGCACGCAGCTCACCAAGGTCTCCAAGCGCCTCCTGAATATTTCTCCGTCTCTTGTGCCTTCCTGTCTTCTGTTCTGCTGTGGGATTAAGCACACCGCCCCCACCCGCCATTTCCCAAGAAACCCCCCTCCTGGAGACAGCAGAACACAGCTCCCAAATATATGAGCTCCTTCAAATGTCATCACCCACCTTTGCTGCCTTTGAAGAGCACCCCCTGCCCTCCTGGCTCACAGGATGCAGTTAACCTCCAAGCTGGTACCCCTGCACCCCTGCAGTCACCTCACAAATGGCTGGTGACAGCTGGCTAAAGCAGCAGCACACTCTGGTGGTGGTGACCAGGCAGGAGGGGACCGTGAGCCGGAAAAGCGTGGCAAGAACACACGAGCCCATTCAGCACAAAGCACCTTTGTCAAAACCCGGAGGTCAGAGCGAGGGGAATCTCCAGGGCCGATTTTTTCCACTTGGTGTATAATGAAATAATAAATCGAATTTGTGGTTTATGCAAAATGAAATGTTTGGAGATTTTGCTTTTTCTTCCTTTAAAAAAAAACAAAAACAACTGAAAATCACCCCCCTGGGCCCGTTCTGGCCCGAAGCTGAAAGTGCTTACTCCCCCGGCACATGTAATTGTTACCAGGCTTGCTCGTGGGTCGGCACCACAAAACCACCATTGTCAGTTCCTGGAGCCTGTACCACTGGCTGCCTCTGCTGGCCTGGGAGACTCGGAAAGTGAGGCATCTCCCAGATGCAGACAGATGGAGCTTGGAGTGAGGGAAGCAAGAGGGGCCAAAGAGAGGAGCCTGGAGGAAGCAGGGGCTGTTGGGGTGTCTGCAGCCTTCTTGTTTCCCTCCCTAATCTCTGACCATGTGACTGGGAATATTTATGACCATTCTCAGGATTCTTTTCATTTTGGGGAGTGAGTGTGCGTGCGTGCGTGCGTGCGTGCGTGCGTGTGTGTGCTGGGGGTGGCGGAGGAGCTGAAACAATCTCTTCCACTGCATGAATAAGCAGGTTCGCCTTGCGGACTGCCATAAAAGGTCCGGATCCTCGTTTTTTATCAGCCGCCCATAGAGAAGAGAAGTGGGGGGAAGAAAGCTGTAACATATTTGAAGTTCTTGGTTTGTTTGCCTTCTCTTACAGACCCACCCTGTGGAGGTCGTTTGAATTCCAAGGATGCTGGCTACATCACCTCCCCGGGTTACCCCCAGGATTACCCCTCCCATCAGAACTGCGAGTGGATTGTTTATGCCCCAGAACCCAACCAGAAGATTGTCCTCAACTTCAACCCTCACTTCGAAATCGAGAAGCACGACTGCAAGTAAGCACTCTCCCAACCCCCTGGCCCCTGAGACTGGCACTACCCTCCTGCCCGCTGTCCGCTCACGGCAGTGCCCAGAGCCCACCACTCCATCGGTGGGACATCGTGGTCCCTCCAAGAGGAAATCATCAACCTGACTTTCTCATTCGCGGCAGAGAGAGGCCTAGTGTATCCCCTAAGCCATCGCCCATTTGTTCCAGAGGAGAACTGTGTTCAGTAGTGCTTTCGGTGGTCAGTACTTCAGAAGTAGATCGCCAGCCCTTTCTTCTGTGGTACTTCTGAGCAGCCTGGAACCTCTGGTCTTCCAGTTAGTAGCCCAGCATGCTAACCATTAGCACCACTTTCCTGGGAGAAGAATGAAACTAAGAATACCTTACCATAGTTACCTAGTGTGTGGTAACTGAAACAACACAAGTTGGCGGCTTTCTCAAACAGAATTTTATTCTCTCACATTTTAGGAGGCTCAAAGCCCATGGGCAGGGCATTCTGTCTGTGTCAGCTCCGGGGGGAGGTCCTTGTCTCCTCAACACTTGTGGACCTGACATTCCTTGGAGATCTCCATGTGTCTTGGCATCTTTTCCCGGGTCTAGGAGGTTCTTAGCACAGGGACGATAGGCTCTGCTTTGGGGCTTCTCTTTCTTAGTGGTAGTAAACCCACGACCATTGAGTCTGGCCTAACTCTTAGGGATCTCATAGGACAGACTAAAACTGGCCCTGCGGATTTCCAAGACCGTAAAGCTTTATGGGAATAGAAAGCTGGTAGTTTCAAACTGCTGACCCTGCAGTTGACAGCCCAACGAGTAACTCACCAGACCATCAGAGCGCCTCCTTTATAGAAAGAGAGGATAAACCATCTAGGTCTATATTAATAAGTCCAAGAGTCATACTGAGTCTTCATATTGGTGCTGCACATGATCTCAAAACTGGTCTTGTGGGTTTAGTTAGCAAACACTGTCCTAATGGCTTTGCAAACAGGAATCCATTCAGCTCTCATGGTAGACCTGAGAGATGGTGCCGTCGCGATCTCTGTTTCATGGGTGAGAACTGAAAACAGAGAGCTGTAGTCAGTCACCAGAGGTGACTCAGCTGGTCTTAGGGCAGTTCTGTCCCTGTGGAACTGTCTGGCGTAGGAGATACGCAGTGGTTGGGCATAGGTTTACATCTGTAAGTCACAAGGACAGTCCTTCTTCATCTCTCCTTACCACACAGTCGGGAGAGACAGGACTCTCTACCCTTATAAAGAGTGATGGTCTTGGAAACATGACGGGGAAGTTCTGCCCTGTCCTACAGGGTCACTGTGAGTTGGAATCAACTTGATGGCGGTGAGTGGCACACACACACACACACACACACACACACAATGTTGCCATTGAGTTGATTCTAACTCACAGTGAGTCCTACAGGCCAGAGGAGAACTGCCCCATAGGGTGAATCTTTGGCGAAGCAGACTGTCCCATTATTCTCCCTGGAAGAACTGGTGGGTTTGAACTCCAGCTCAGCCGGTGAAGGCTCAGGCGCCGCATCCCTGGGACTCCCTGGACAACGCCACAGGCCGTTGAGTTCATCCATGTTCACTTAGGGGCTCTCTCTCCCTTCTCAGCTTTGAACAGACTGTTCTCTGGGTGGACTGCCTGTGATATACACTTCCCCATTGCCTGGCTAGCCTCTGTCAGGATCAGCTCAGGCTTCCTCTGCTCCAGGGAGTCTTCCCTGATCTCTCTAGCCTAAGTAATCCTGATCCCCGTGGTTTTGGGGTTCCTGGTGTTTGTAGCATCTACTGGGCATGATCTTAACGGCTTTCCTCATTGAAACAGAGTGAGAGCTTTCTATGCCGCAAAGAATGTTCCAACAGTCATGTTCTGCTTCCAGGGAGCACCCACACGTAGCCCCCACTCACCTGGTTAATGAAAGGAAAGCTCGTCCTGGTAACCCAGGCAGGGGGGTGGCTGGAAATCCATAAGGGGGCAGCTGGCATCAGGAAAAGTATAAGAAATGGTCCTCATGGAAGAAACCAGGCCCCTCCTTAACTAATGCCACACTGCCACCCACCATCCATGTCCTTATGACCCTCCTAGGGCCACTTCCCACCTACATAGTGGTTTCTCCTAACAAAGGGTCTTCTCTGTTGCAAACCAAGGGGCTTTTCCCTGTTGCTTGCCGCCTGTGACTCAGAGTCCTAAGACAAGCCCTCTCATCCCAGCTCCACTCCTGGACCCAGTGGGTGACACAGGCCAACTCATCAGTTCCTCTTTATCTCGGGGAAATGCACACACGGCTTCCCAGTCCCCGGTGCTGAACTTCACCACGGACTTCTGTCTGCAGAGCTGCTTTGTGAGGCGCTGTTGGTCCCCGTCCCTCTGGCTGGACTTCAGGGGCTTGGCAGACACCGGAGCTTAATGTACAGAGAGCTTGGGTCTGAGCTCAGAGAAATTTGACTAAGCACCTCTCTGGACCGAGGGCCAAATTCTCTTATGCTTATGCCAGCAGCTCTCCCAGGGACATTGCTCGGAGGTCAGCTTATGCATATTCATGGTGGCCGAGTGGGAGGGCACAGCTTTCAGAAGGGGAAATTTGGGAGCTCTTGAGCCTGGCCAAAAAACATGGCAGGAGTATGAAAGGCCAGCAAAAAACGGGTTCCTGCCCTGCCTCGGGCCAGGAGGTCTCACTTCTCTTCTGTTGGCTCACGAGGTTCTGAAGTTGGTGCAGGGGAAGCAGGGAGGAGGTAGCGGGTCATCTTCTGACTTAACTGTCATTCTTCACTAAGTAGCTTCTTCTATTTCTCCTCACCCCACCCCCACTGCTTCTGGCTTGCACCTAAAAATCAAGAAGCTCAGGAAAACACAACGCCCCAATGTCAGAAAGTTTCCAATGGAGTTGGGCCTAAACTGCTCAACCTTCCCCCCTGGTTCCTCTTCCCCTTCTCTCTCTCTCTCTCTCTCTCTCTCGTTGTTATGAATTTTGTATTTAGAAAAGTGCAGCTGGCTCTTTGAGCATTGCTCTCCTCAAGTTTTTGCGGGGTTTTGTTTTTTTAAAAAAAACATTGTTGCCTGGTCATTTGCATACAGAATAAACGGGCTTCTCCACCCCCATTGCCGGGTTTGGCTTTCTGGTGAAAGGAACGATGAATCTAACTGAAGTCCTGAGCGTTCTGTCTTGTTCTTACCCACCCCCTTTCCCTCCCTGCTCCCTTTCTCCTTCCATACCCCTCTCCCTCCCCCCATTCCCTCCCCCTCCATTTCGGATCCACGGGAGCTCCTGGGTGTTTGGAACACACTTTCTATCCAAGGGGATGCGCGTCCTCTCTCCTTTCGCTTCAGCTGCGTGCTTCCAACTGGATTCTGCCTCTCTGGGCCCATAGGGTGGATACTTCCCAAAATGAAAATTGCCGAAACCATCCTGTTGATGATAGAACCCAGCAGGAACACGCTGGCAAACAGAGGAAATGAGTAAGAAAGTCAGACAAAAGCGGTCCATCTCAGCAAGGGGGAAAGAGCAGCAGTCAGCATGCCCGCCCTCGGACGTCCTCACTTCTTCCGCTGTGCACTGTGAGCAGCAAAGATGGCCCATGTCCTGGGAACAGGGTCCTGATAGGGAACCAGGGCTGTGGCTGTGGCTCCCAAGCCTCATTCCGCTCCCCTCTTGAAGGCCAGAAAGGACTGTTGAAGAAATCCCAGACAGCCCTTTCCCCATAGCCGCCCCCTTGTACATTTTGTTCCATTCACGCTTGCCGTCTGCTTGGAAAATTCTACTCACAAGCCTCAGCTTAGCCTGAGTCAGTGCCACCCAAGGCCACTGCCTCTGGTGAGCCTCCACCCTCTCCTTCCTCTGGCCACTTGTGAAGGTCCCTCCCCCAGCGCCCACAGGCTGCTCTGGGGTCCACTCGACAGCTGCAGGCAGGAACCGACCGAGGTCACGGCGATGCTGCCAGGTCCGTGTGGCCAAGTGACCAAAGGGCAAGCCTCAAGGCTGCCTGAGCACACAGGGAGAAGCCACTTCATGCCCTGTGGTGGTGAGGAGGATACTGCTGCTTCGGCCAGCAGACAGAGGCCTTTCGCCTGAGTCATCCGCCAACGGGGTGAATGCTCTGGTTTTAGAAGCACACACACTTGGGGTGGTTTTTTTTTCCATTTCAGAATGAAAAAATATATGCATTTTAAAACAACACCACCACCCCACCCCCCACCCCCCAATGCTGACTTGCGTATGAGGCACGGCTGAGCCACGAGTCATCCGTCAGGTGTGGTATCCCAGCCCGCTCCCGAGGCTCCACCAAGGGGAAGCCAAATGGAGAGTCTGGTTCTTTTAAGGACTGACTGGTAGTCTCCAGATGGGCACCTTGAAAGATATGTTTCGCCGCGTGTGAAAAGCAGCTGGGAGGTGGCAAAGAAGCTCAGAATCATTATAAGGAAGCCACCTTAATGATCTGTATGTGCTGTTCTACAGCAAAACCGCCTCGTCCCAGCTCCTCAAAGAACAGTGCTTCATCTCCAGACACTTGGAAATTGCCCTGTAATGGGCCCAGCGTTCTCTTTTCGCAGAGCTTCCGGATTAATCCCCTCGAAGCCACGTGCTGCACTTCCCTTTCCTCCTTAAACAAAGCCAGGACTCAGGAAAGTCAACACTTGCTTGATGATCCCTGCTCCTCATTCTGATCACCAGTCTTGGGGACAGAGGCCCAGGATCAGGATGTTTAGTTGGGAATCTTTGTCCACACACTGCCACCCCTCCTTGGGACCCCTAGGGTGATGATAAGGATTTGGGTTGGGCTTAGGGCAGATGCATAATAGATCAGCAACTGTGATGTCGTTTTTGGACTTTGTCACAGAAACATTTGGGATTCTATTTTTCCTATAAATACTCTTGCTGTCACTTCCTGTTGTCAGCTTGCCTGCCCCAGAAACCTTCCCCTCCTGACTCATTCCACGTGTTTTTACTGCTGGTCGATTTTGCTTCAGGGGGACGTCCTGGGTATTGAGAAGTCTGGGTTCTGGGGGTCGACG